TGAAAAATAATAAAATAAATTGATCCGCACGGCGCTCTTCGGCTTTTCTCCAATGCGTTGTAGTTTGACCGTCAAAATTCCCCAATTGGTGGCGGCAAAAGAGTCTCTGTGTTCATAAGAGTGTGAGCCGCTCTTTTTGGTTGCTTTCACACGTGAAATTGTTCTATTGTATAATTTCAAATAATAAAAATGGGCATTTTAGCATTTACATGCAAAACTTTTACGAATTGGCACATCTAATGGCAAATTTAAAATCTTACACACATCTCTAACATCACATCAAAAATAGTATCATTAACTCTTAAAAATTAAAATACACATTTTCATGCATTGGATCCTAGTTTGTCATTTATGAATCAAATTTCGAGAATTCGAGCCGAGTGAATGGGAGAAATAAGTGAAAGTAGAATATGTTTGGGATCTTCATTGGGAGAATTGAGAGAAAATATATATTTACAATAAGTGAAAGTAGAATATGTTTGGGATCTTCATTTCATTGGGAGAATTGAGAGAAAATATATATTTACTCATAATTTTACTTCGTATTTATAGAAATGTGCTTTGAATGATTATGGAAAAGAAAAGAACGGTCATGAAAACTGTTCTTAATGTCATTAAGGTTTAAATCAATTATATAGATTTTATGTCATATTCGTATTACAATTTAAGTTTCAATATTTGCAGTAATTGACTGGTTGGTTGGCTTGAAGTCAATCAACTGAGGTGACTAACCAAATGACACATGTGTTTTTTGTAGTACGTGTTTGTCAGTCGAGGTGTTCAGTCGTATGACGATCTTGCCTGGTGTATTTTGGCACACTCAACCAAAACAGTCAGTTGTGAAGTGGTTGATCGGTCCGAATGCGGGGTTGGTTAGTCGAATGTGATAAAATGACTTTTTTCGTAGTGAGTTGTGGCTCATTTTTCATTTGGCTCAAGTATTACAAGGCTCGTGTCCCATCTAACTAGTTAGTTCGTCCCCTCGACAACATCTCCTAATATTGCAAGGTCTTAAGCGGATCTTGTCGCAGCCCGCACGGGGTATTCGACTAGACTCGCCATCGAGATAATTTACGTCTCACTTTCGACAAGTCTTGTCGCTGCCAAGTGGGGAGCCATCTTCGGAGCTCAAACATATCTCAAGTTTGGATACACGACTTCATTCTTGGCCTTGAATGTTAGTTGATTGCTTATCTCGAAAGGAGGCCCTTTCATCTTGGTTATTCGTTCTCTTTGAGATTCGTGCTCTCATTTTTTGTATATGCATATTAGTTCCCCGAGTTTTCATGCTCATTAATAGTGATAACTACAATAAGAACGGGATAATTATGAAACAATCATTAGTAATAAATTTATGAATTGGTTGAACACATGACTTCCCTTAGGATTTCATGTCACGTGTGTTTTACAAATAGATATGAATTAAGTATTGTATCATATGTCGTTAATTTCTCAATTCACAATTGAGGTGTGCTACGGCTAACAAATAAAGTTGGACCGTCATGGATCCTGATAGGCTCGCGAGGGTCGGGCTTCAAATTCCCTCTTCTAAAAAGAAGAATAAGGCAGCGGCGAAGGAAAATCAAGTGAGGCCCGGATCTGACCTGGTCGACATAGTCGACTCATCGAACGATGTGGAAGGTCAGTCGTTGAAGTGGCCTTACCGAGGTGCCTCAGAGTCTGGTTTGAGTGTGCGTGTTGAGGTCCAACTTGCCCTTTTGATCAGGGTGGGCCGTAAGGAGTTGGGAGAGTGGTTGTCACAACCCTCCCACAGTCACTGCCACAAGAAAGTGGAGACGTCTCGGCACCGGAGAGAGAGGAGGCCTTTAAGACTGTCTCCTCCATGGAGAGAATTATGGATGAATGAATAAGGTAGGACAGCGGGTTGTCAAAGAATGTTGTGGAGTTTGTTCCTACTGCAGTGGTTGTTATGCAGGTTAGAGAAGTGGGCCTCCCATCACTATCTACCCAAGTAGTTCATCAGCTGCCATGCCCATCGTTCGTGATAGAACTCCACCCGAGGTGACCATTGTGGGATGGAATCCCCCAAGATCATAGAGCTGCGGGCAGGCAAGATCAAACCGTTAACGGGGTCAGTCAGCTCTTTTTTAGGGACTTACCGACGGTTCGACTGTGGATCTTGTGCAGGAGTTGTCTACTCGCTTGGATGTTGAAGTAGTGGTTTTGTGAACAGAGTTTGATGCTCTGTGAGGAGGGCTAAATGACAAGTTGCACGAGCTAGGGACACTCCGTGAGATGCATGATCTGGCGAAGTTCAACAGAGAAGCTGATCGAGTGAATCAAATTAGGTTGGGTGAAGAAATGGTTCTCCAAAAGTTGAGGGTGCATTCCCCTCCAAGGTTTTGGAGGAACTGTTTATAAAACACCTCGTTTGAGGTCTATAATAATGTTATTCACAATAAAATAATTTTTGAAAAAGAGATTTGTATGATACTTATCATTAGGTGATGCTCCATCTAACGCACACAGTTTATAAATAGGTGAAGGGTTGCTTATTTTCACTTTACACGTTTTTCTTTCATTCATTTTTCTTTGGCTTTTTTTTTTCTCTTCCGTCCTTCTGCTTAGGGTTGTCGAAAAAGCTCGTTATTCACGAGCAGCTCGTGTTCGACTTAGTAAGTAGCTCGTGTTCAGCTCATTTGTTAAGTAAATGAGCTGAACAAGAACAAATTTTTAAAACTCGAATTATAAATGAGCCGAACACGAACAACTCTTTGTTCGCTCGTGTTGAGCTCGTTTTAACTCGAAATAAAATATATATATTTATATTTATATAATAGTATATTAAATATATTTATATTTAAGTTTTAATCGTAATACCTTGTGTGGTAATGTGGTGAGTGCTTTCTTTTGCATACATTTGGTCCATGTTTGAATCCAACACTTTATATCTACCTTTTTCAATTTAATTTTAACGAACCAATTTTGAGCCGAACACAAACATGAATATTTAAATCTAGCATAACAAGAACACACTGTTCACGAGCTGATTTTGAACACGAGTCAATCTCAAACACGAGTAGTTTTGAATGAGGCGAACATGAGACAAGCCTGAGCTAGTTTAAGCTCGACTCGTTTACATCCCTACTTTTGCTGATTTTACTCTTTTCTCTCGAGATGCCCCCAAACACTCACCTATCTTGTTCAGCTCTATGGAGGGCATTGGCCCTTCGTTTATGACAGAGAACAATGTGAGGGATTGAAGCGAATGTATGCTCTTGTCGAGAGCATAGGTCATCGGAAGTTGTCTGGATCGGTAAGAACGACAGATCATATGGGAAAAGATCTGGTCTTATATCGAAACCTGTTCAAGTATGGCCTCCAATTGCCCTTATTTCAGGAGCTCCGATGCATCTTCAACATCTATGGAGTTATTTCGACGCAAGTGATGCTGAACACCATAGCTACAATCATGACTTTCATCATTTTCTGTCGATGGGAGAATCTTGTGTGGTTGATCAAACTCTTTAGAAACTTCCTCTCGTTCAAGGCCGATAGGGAGGGCTACATTATATTCTCGGCTGGCAGGAACTCCACTTAGTAGGAGTGGAAAATAAGATAAAGGATCAGACAGATCCTTTAATAATGGTTTAACATATGTCCTTATTGGTCATGATGATAATCTTCGATAATAGCCCTTGTATAAGTGGGGGGCTAGGTTATGCCTTTAAGGGGAGTGGATATAATCAAATTCATAGGTGGGCTCAATTTGACCACTTCAGCAGGTGGACTGGATCCTGCCACTTCAGCTGGTGGGTTTTATTCAACCCTTCGATGTCATTTCGATTGGTGGGTTCAATTCAACTACTTCGGCACGTGGGTTTTATTCAGCCACTTCGGTAGTTGAGCTTGATTTAGTCACTTCAACAAGTGGGCTTAGTTCAATAAGACAAGTAAGAAAATGGTTTTCATATAGCGATATTTTTATATACCATGATATTTATTTATGGAAATTTACATATAAGCTTGACTAGGATTGTGATAAAAAAATTAATAAAAAAAAATAAAAATTACAATTATATTTACAAATTATCACATATTATAATCAAAATAACACAAACATGCAATCGAAATACATAATGAAGTAAAAAAAAATTAATGATGTCAATGATGATGAAACAACAAGTTTCAATCTTTCGTTTGCAGATCATAATATAACAAGTTAAATAAGGGTAAAATGGTAATTTTTTTTCAAATAACAGGAAGATTTACACATATACCACACGGTTCTTATATGTATTTATAGTTTGCACCTAAATATTCATGTTCGCATTTATACTATTTTACTTATATTTGAAAATATATCTTCCACTTCTTAAAGTTAGTAATATTGTCATTTTTAAATGTTTTTAAAAATTTGTTATACACACACACCACACACACACACACACACACACACACAATTGTTTGTAATGTATGTAAATGTATTCAGAAAAAAAAAATGAAGAAGAAAACCTCAACCCAAAATATCTCCCTTCAAACTTAGTGCATAATTCTTATGTACAACACACAAAAAATAGGTGTATGATTTAGACAATGAGCACAATATTGTATTTATTATATAATTTTTTTCAATATTTGGGGGTAAATACCAAACAAAAACTACAAACTCTTCACTATAAATACAAAAAAAAAAAATACTTTTTTTTCATCACAGAAAATATTACACTAGAGCGATATATGTGCGGATGACGGTGTGGATTGCACCATGTCGCCAAACACACGGTATGGTGTGATGATCCACACCATCGCCTACATATTTCAATTTACAAGTAATATTTTCTTAATTTCTTATAATTTTTTTCATAAAAAGCAAACAAAAATTTTAAGCCCTACTTTAAAAAGTCTAGAGAATAATTCAACACTTTTATATGCTCTAAAAACTAAAATGATCCCAGTAAGGAAAAATTTAAGCTATCTTTCTCTTGAAAATCTTTTTCCACAAAAAATAAAAATCATTTTTTTCCGAAAAAAAAAAACACTCCAAATTTTAATCTTGAAGATCCAATCATCTCCTTCAACAATTTTCCCACCTCAATCCCCTCACAAATCCTCACCTTTTCACGCCTTCTTCTCCTTCACAACCCCATCAAACTCACCGCCGCCACCGCCACCACCGCCAACATCTCCACCACCACCACCCTCTCCCCCTCACTCACAATCTGCACCGGAAACAAACACCCCTTCCTCGACGCATTCTTCCTCGTAATCTCCGCCAACCCCTCAAAATCACAAGCCCTCACATCCTGATCCTGCGTCTGAAAATACACATTAAACGCATACGACGCATTCCCCCTCCAATCACCCAGCCCATTACAGCTCCCCCCATACGCCAATGGCGTACAATCCCCCAAACTGCATGCGTAGTCCATATTCCCCGCCACCAGCCTCAAGTTGTTCGCTTCCTCCTTCACGACGCACCATTTCGCCTCCTGATACTCCACCCCTTTCGCTCCCATCATCTTCTTCCCCTTCCCCCTCAAATCCACGTCGAACTTCTGTCTCCCGTCATAGGTAAACAGACCCCAATGCCGCTCGAAGTTCCCCGGAGTTATGCTCTTCATGTCCTCATCAATGAGGCTGAACAGGTAGACCTCCAATGGCCCCTGCCTCATCGGCGTTCCCCTGTTCCTCCCCATCTTCTTCATAAATCCGTCGTAGAACCGTTTCGCGTTCTCCTCATCGGCCCTCTCCGCCCCGTCCGTCGGCCACCCGACCTCCCCGACGATGATTTTCATGCCGTCGATTCCGATTTTGTTAAGCGCGAAGACGAGGGTGTCAAAGCTCGCGTCGAACACGTTCCCGTACAGCCTCCCCCCGTCGTTAATGTCGCGGCCGCCGCCGTCGAAGAATGCGAAGTTGACCGGAAAGTGGCTGTTTTGATAGAGGCTGAGAAAAGGGTAAATGTTGACGACGAAAGGGGCGCCGTTAGATTTAAGAAAGAGAGCGATTTGGGTCATGAGACCGCGGATGTCGGAACGGAAAGCACCGCCGGAGGGCAAACCGCTATCGGATCCGTATACATCGGCGTTTTGAGGGACGACGGCTTTGATCCGGTGGCCGACGCCGGCTTCGTTGAGGGCTTTTTGGATGTTTTTGAGGGCGGGGAAGGTGTATTGGAGGTATGCGCCATTGTAGCTTGTTAAAAATGGCTCATTTCCGACGGCTACGTAGCTGATTTTCAGACCGCCGGAGTGAAGGTAGTTGGTGATGTTCTGTTTCACCCAATCTCGGGCGGTGTCGTAATGTTTGCTGATGGGGAGAAGCTGCTCGTTTGGGATGCCGATCATGACATCGATACCGGTGCCCGAGAGGGTGGAGAGAGTCCATGGATCGGGGTCGAAGAGCTTTACTTTGGAGATATCGTTGTCTTGTAGGAGCTTGACGACGATGTTTGGGTTGAGAGGGTGCGAGGTTTGGGTGCCCCAGTTGACGCCGATTTGGGTGGCGGAGGCGAGGGAGATGGCGGCGAAGATGTGGACGAGGATGGACGGGGGAGGCATGGTGGGCGGGGCGGCGGGGTGGTGGAAGGTGTTCTGGTTTTAGGTTGGGGGAGATCTATTTTGGGGAGAGAAGGGGATGAGGTGGGAAACTGTTTTCTGTTGGTTTGAATGGGAAGATGACATATGTGGTGTCCATGGCTAAGATTGGTGACATGGTGATAACTAATTGGCATTTGAATCATTGTCTGTGTTTGCATGCAAAAGAAGATCAAAAATACATTCACACCTAAATATATATAGTATGTTATTATATAAATAATATATATAATATATTATTATATAAATAATTATATAATTTAGAGCTAAAATGAATTGAACATGAGCAAACAAATCATTTTTTGTTAAACGAGCCGAGCACGAGCTGTTCACGAATAACAAACCTTTTTTATAACACTATTTGTAATATATAATTTAGAGCTAAAATGAATTGAACATGAGCGAACAAATCATTTTTAATTAAACGAGCCGAGCACGAGTTGTTCGCGAATAACAAAATTTTTTTACAACACTATCTGTAGTCAGGATGAAGTATCAACTAAGTATATGTTTAACTTTGATTGCATAATAATTTATTAAAGGAGAATATATATATTAAAAATTTATCATATACATTTAGATATTTTATCAATGAGCTATACTTATTAAGATAAGTTATTACATATTAATAATAACTTTTAGAAGGACTATGACAAACGAAATACAAAATGTTAGGTGAAAGATGTGTGTGTGTGTGTCTCTCTCTCTCTAACAGAGAATATCATGACCAATCAACGACGAGCCTTAAAACGAGAAGACAAAGTTAGCATGCTTTTAAGGAGACAAATAAAAAGTAATATGGAGATAGTTGACATCACTAAGGCTCTGTTTGGCGCAGCTGCAACTTTTCAGCTATGCGCTCCGCTACCCTAGGAAGCTGCTGTGAGTAAGTTGCTGCGGGGAAACTGGTTGGTTGTTTGTTGCAACAGTGTGAAAAAAACTGTGTGGCAGCTGTTTTTTGAAAAACGACTATTCTGCCTCTGTTTAGTTAAACTGTTTGACACGGAACAACAACAATCCTATATATGATATAACAGAAGATAAATTCACTTTACAAGATAAAAATGTAAAAATAGACTGCTACAATTTTTATAACAAAGTTTATATCACAATTTTTTATTAAGAACAACTGAGAGAAACAATGTTGAGCTCAAGAACCATTCTCATAAGCAGTTACTAACCAAGCATTTGCACACATACCACCCAACTCTCATGTATTAACAGATTTGACACCTAGATTTTAACTTTTACATTTGTAACACCCAAATCTTTCATAGCACATCAACAAAATAACACCACTCAACTTAAGAAAAAAATAAAATACACAATTTCATGCATATGTAAGGTAGTATGTATGTAAATATAAATTAAAATCAGAAAATCAGCACACAAATATTGAAAAATTAGAAAATCAGCACATATATAATCAAATCTAGGTGTTACACATGTAGACACAAGATAAAATCAGAAAAATCTGCAACTTTACATATTGGTCCAAAATCAGGTGTTAAAATGATCGAGCATTGGTAAAACTGATAACACCACAACAAAGATAGAGTTTCATTAAAGACAAATAGGCAGCTAATCAAAATCTCCATAACACAACAAGAAGCATGAAGTTTCAGTACAGATAAATGGAGAGCTCAACACAACTAATCAGTGAAAGCTGCGCTCCTTCCATCCCACCAAAGTTGCAGCAATTAATACATTAAACACCAAAGTTGGAAAGCTTTGCTTTTGGCATGTTACAAAGGTACAGCAACTTGAGGTGGGGAAGCTGCCCAAAAGTTGGAAAGTTGGAAAAGTTTCCCACTCCGAGCACCCGTTCAGACTGATGAACTCCAGATTGGAGATCAGATATGTTTTGTACATCCATTTTGCAGAGCTGACACCCTTGTATGAAAATATAAACAAACTCTTTAGATTTTTGTATGGTTTAAGATTTTCAAGCTCATTCACATCCAAGTCAGAATTAATAATGTTTCGTCGGCTTCCAACTCCCTTGTCTGATTTCCATTCATCAACAATTTTGCCCCAATCCAATAATAAATCTGCGAGTTTTGTCTTCTCAAATAATTTTGCAGTGCAAGCCTCTCTAGCATCCTTCACAATTTTCAAAAAATGTATTTTTAATTTGTGCAACTCGCTCGAATGTTCCAACTCCCCAATTCTATAACCATTCTCAAATAATTTTGCGGTGCAAGCCTCTCTAGCATCCTTCACATTTTTCAGAAAGAAAATGTATTTTTAATTTGTGCGACTCGCTCATATGTTCCAACTCCCCAATTCTATAACTATTCTCAAATAAACAAAAGCATGTGAAGCATGTGAAATTTGTTAGATATATTTTTTTTATGTAAAGTGAAAGGATGCACATAAGTCCAATATTCAAATCCTAATGAATCATAAATATCTTCTTTGGCAATATCCACAAAACACATAAATACAACAATAGTTCAATGGTTTTCAATAGTTCCCAGGTATCAAACTAAACAAAAGAAAACAACGGAATAGTACTCGTACATCAAAATCGTGTTGGGTGCCCTGCAAGCAACCCTTCAACCCATTTGTCATCGATATAAGAAGATGTCATGCATGGCGACCGATCAATGTACTCATTATAGTACTCGTACATCAAACATATTGCCGTCATAAACATCCCTCTCCGCTTTTTTCTGCGTGTATCCATGTGGGCCTCCATCCGTCTTCTTTTATTTGCATCCATAGTGATGGGTATCCCTAAATATTTTTCCTAAACAATTATCATGTGATCCTTCATCTGTCGTAGGCCTATTGCCCCATTCTATCTCTTTAAGACAAAGATCGCAAAATATTATATTTGTATATTTTTCTCATAATGTAAGTGTAGCAACCTGTTTAGTTTTATTATCCATTTTATTACTATAACAAACAAAGACATGAAACATAATAGTAAAATCAATTAGATACTACTATTGTAATTAACTCATAAATAAACATTAGCAAACAACAATGAATACGATAAATACACACACACACACATAAGAATTCAGTGGTATGTAAATAACATTGAAAAAGAATTCGGTGGTACATAAATAACAGAGAAAAAAAATCATTCTGGTTTCAAACTTTGGGCACAAAGAGAGGACAAAAACAAGTTAGATCATATATTCAAGAAAAATTTGGAGTCATTTTGTTGGTCATCAGAATCTCATATTATGCCATTATTTAAAGTAAAAGGTGAATAAAACACTAATAGTGATTTCCAAATACTATTAGTTATTCATACAAAACAAAAACGATATCTGAATCCAAAAAAGTTTCACACATTTAGCCACCTTACAGAAGAAAATATGATCAATTGCTGTATCACACAAAGTAGCCAAGCATATTACACAAACAGTAAATCATTAAAAAATGTAAGATGCAATATATCATAACATAATAAAAATTTTTAAAAGTGCAAAGAGGGATTGTATAACAATAGCTCAAGATAGTTCTTTAAAACCTCACTAAAATAAGATAACTAAGTAGTTCTCAAACATGTAGGAGTTTCAAAATCGTATCAAAATGTAGGAGTTTTAAAATCGTATCAAAAGTGCAAAGATGGATCGTATAACAATAGCTCAAAATTTTGGTTTCTCCAATTAAGGTGAAAAAAAAAATTTTATGCGGAGAAGCCACTCACGGAGCTTGTAAGGCACGGGATCGACGAAGCAGAAGGAGCGTGTTCCCTGTAGAGACGGCGAGACAGCGCGATTGCGACGAAGAAGAAGGCGAGACAACAGTTTCAAAGAAGAAGACGCGGGACGGCGCTGGAAGGATCGCTAGGGCTACGAGGTCGATTCCTGTACGACGAAAGAAGAAGGCTCAGGACGGAACACTAGGGCTCTTCTTTCACGAGGGCAATTTCGAATATTAGGGAGGCGAAAGTTGGGGCCGTAGGGTTGATCCCGTGGCCTGCTTCTCGTCTGCTTCGGCGTCGTTCGACAGCAAAGCTGAGAGTCAAACAGTAATTTATTGCGTTTTTGGGTCACGCCGCATGAAAAAAAAAGGCCCCAAACGGAGCCTAAAGCTGACAGATTTGCACAACGACAAAAGTTGGATATGACACCACCCAAAATTTAGCAAAGAGATGGCGTAATGAAATTATGGAGTTTGTTGAAAATGGTCAGATTGCTGCTCCCATGGAACTAGCAAAGATGATCATTTTGGCAGTGCGCAATGATAATGGAGAGTTGATGCTTTGTCAACAAATTCATCATCGGACATGAATGCTGAGGCATGACATAGATCTTGAGACAATCTTTGTGTAAGAAATTTTTAAAATTCAACTAAGAGTCACTCAGAGCTTAGAGCTTCGATTTTAGTAAACTTACAGTCAAACTGAACGGCTCGACGAGAGAAATCGAATGATACCAAATTGGTCAAATCCATGTCAAATCAAATTCAAATCAAGTCATTAAATCACTTTGGGAAACTTTTCAGACATATTTAGAAGGTCAAACAAATGTCGAATCTGACGAGTTTATGATCAAATCGAGCGTCTCGACAAGGCAAATCCAACTAGTCCAAGGTCGTTCGATTTTGACATCGTTAAAGCACTCAAATGTCTTCTCAATTTTGCTGGTGCCAACCCGCCTTCCAAATTCTATTGTTCACATTACAACATATGAATTGCTACTCCTGCCATTTAAGCCCACTAACAACCCAATAAGTCAAAAGGTTTTTTCTTCTCATGCATGACAAAACAATCCTACCAGTTGAGCTAGGCTCAATTTCTTTTATAAAGTAGATGCTTATTTTATCCTTATAACATTCCAAATAGTAATATAATTGATACGTTATCAATAAACTTCCAACAGTTAACATGAATATTAAGGTATAGCACGAATCTCAAAGCAATCATTTTATCAAAGATTGTTCAAACTTTGATTAAGAGTCATCAAAAGCTCTGATTTTAACAAACTTACAATTAGATAGATCTAATGATGCTAAATTGGTCAAATTTGAGTCAAATCAAGTCCCGATCAAGATATTAAATCACTTTTGGAAGTTTTTCGTGCATACTTTAAAGGATAAACGGATGTTGATTTTGTTGAGCTTACAGTCGAATCGAGTGCCTCGACAAAACAAATTCAATGAGTCTAAGATCTCTCAATTTGGACATCATTAAGTCACTAAAACGTTCATCAAACGCTGTCTAATCAAAGTGGTTCATATTTCTGTATTAATTGCACCTGAAATTCTATAAATAGAACTCCACCTCTTTCTTGAGGGGGGAAGGAGCGCTTGAAGCTTGAGCTTGAAGTTTAAAGGAGCTGAAGTCCAGCATCACCACTTCACTGATCGCCGCCCCCCTCCACTGGCTACCATCGATCACCAGTCGCATATACCACCACCGACCATCTCTCGTTAGTTGTCGCATATCATCATTGGTTGTACCCACTTTTTACAATAAGTTTATTCGTAAGTCAACTTTGTAACTTGGGAGATTTTATAAACCTTTCACGCTTATGGGACAAAGTGGTTGCAATTGTAATTGTCATTTTATAGTGAAACTCTTTAATTGGGTCATATATCGTAGTTTTTCCTTTATAGGTTTTCAACATAAAAAGCTTCTGCCATCCCCATTTATAGTTTCTTTTATCTGAGTGTGTGTTGAATTCAAGTACAACGCTAAGCTGATAATTTATTACACATTTTTGCGAATTTTCTAACATGCATCAAATATATATATATATATATATATATCAATGACATGTCATGAAAAATAGAAGTACTTTAAATTTTTAATATTTTTGACGATGAAATTGATCTAGCTTGAAAATAAAGGGTAATTGATACATCATTAATAGATCTATCATCTTTCATGTATCTTAAGGCATGACACGGATTTTGAGGCAATATTTTGAGCAAGAAATGTGCAAAATGTGATTAAGAGTAGTATGAAGCTCTTGTTTTAGCAAACTTATAGTCAAACTGACTGGTTCGATGGTGGATCAAATGATACCAAGTTTGGTCAAATCCAAATCAACTAAAACTCAGATCAATTACTTAAATTACTTTTGAAAGCCTTTTTGGGTATAATTGAAAATTATAACATATGTCAAATCTGATGAGCTTGTGGTCAATTTGAGCATCACGATGAGATGAATCAAACTAGCTCAAGATAGCTCAATTCCAACATCGTTAATATACTCAAATGTTCACCAAGGCAAACTCCACACCAAAAATAGTGCCGACAGTCATTCAATCAATTTGGTTCATATTCTTTCATTAATTGCAATCGAAACTCTAGAAACATAGGCCCACCCCTCTCATGAGGGAGAGACTTGATGTCCAAGGAGGGAACTTGAAGTCGGAGGAGGTAGTTTGAAGTTTGAAGGGACAGTTCGGAGCTTGAAGAAAGAGCAAAAGTTCATCATCACTCCTGCAGCTATTGATCGCCACCAAATACCGCCGACCACCACCGATCGGCCGCCGCTCATTCTTTGTGGCAAGTTCGCTCTCACACTTTGATCGCCACCAAATACCGCCGACCACCACCGGTCGGCCGCCGCTCATTCTTTGTGACAAGTTCGCTCTCACAGTGACGTTGTAAATCGAAAGTTTGTATAACTTTTTCCATGATTTTTTATGTGTAACCATCATTTTATAGTATATTTCTTTTCAATTGGGTTGGACACCGTGATTTTTTAATTTTTAGAGTTTTCAAAGTAAAAAATTTATAGTGTCACTACTAGTTGTTCTTATTTCATATTAATGTGTGTTGAATTTTTGCACAACGCTAAGACAATAATCTATTACTCTACCATCACAAATCATCAAGCTTGCATCAACACCATTGAAAATTGTTGGATATACCCCCACAAACTAAAAAAACACTTATAATATTTAATAAGCAGCCTATACTAAATTCGAAAAATTGCATCCTAAATATTTAATATTTTAAAATGTAAAAAATTACGCTGAAAGTAAGCTATCCACTTGAACTAATTATTATTATTCTTTTAACGAATGAGACCATTTTTGGGCATTTGCATACATACCACTAAATTTTTATATATTTACATATTTAACAAAAGCTTTACTTTTAAAATTTTTATACAACTGAAACCTTTCTTATGGTATGAAAGCATCACCAATTTGACTTTAGAAAGTAAAATACACATTTTCATGTGTTGGATCTTAATTTGTGTATGAATCACACCGTGAGAAATAGAGGACTAAGGAGAAACAGAGGAGAAACAGAGGAGAAATCAGGGACATGAATGAACATTAATGAACCGTGATACATTGTGTTTTACTCATCTAATGATATCTCTATTTACGAGTGAGAGAGTACAATACGATGATGCTACATTTTACTCCTGCTTTGAAAGGGTCGTTTTGGAGATTCTTAATATTTTACATGTATAAGCTCTTTGCTCGACTGCACTATGGCTCGACCGACTGAGCTTGATTGGTTTTAGGTTGGCATGATAGGTTGGGTCAGTTGAGATTCGCTCGATCGATTGCACTCAGTTGATATGGTTTAACTTGTTGATTATGGTCAACTGTCAATCCTCGACTTCTAATGCAACCTCTAAGCGTCCTTGAGATGGTTGAAAATATTAGAGAACCAGATATTTCCTTAGATCAACTTTCTTGTGACTGTTAACTCGAATATTCTTTCGTTTTGTTTCTGGTTGTGTGACTCATTCCAGTGTCCTTTGATTGCCTTTAGTGCCTTGTTTGGCTTTAGCTTTGTTGCCTTTGGTTCAAATGACTAAACTCGGCTGAATAAGTTGACCTCATGTTCTTCTGTCATTGGGCGCTTCCTCATAGTATTTTTCTCCTCCAGACTGTTAGATCTCCTCAGGATCAATGTTAACACATTTTTTTATGTACAAAAAGTGCAGATGAGTGATTCAGATAATGTAAAATTGAAGTTTAGGGGTCAAATATTTAAATAGCTTGATATATATATATATAGATATGGATATATATATATATATATATATGTAAAATTCTTTATTTTTAACATAAAAGTTATAGAGACCATCTTGAAAGAGTTATCAAGCACAGCCCAACGGGCCACAACCTTGATGGATTAATGCTCGTGTGGGCTAACATGGTAGCCCTAGTTCATTTCTGTATATCGGAAAACCCACTCGGCGAGAGAGGAGAGAGATCGGAGCAGAACCTTAGATAAAGCGCGAGGATGAGCGGGAGCGGGGCGAAGAAGGTGGTGGAGACGGCAGTGAAGGCAACTAAGGCGATAGACTGGGATGGCATGGCGAAGTTGCTCGTCTCGGACGAGGCGCGGAAGGAGTTCGCCAATCTCCGCCGTGCCTTCGACGACGTCAACCAACAGCTGCAAACCAAGTTTAGTCAGGTCCATTTCTCACCCCGATCTATGATTTTTTCATTCTGATTGTTTAGCTATGCTGTAGTTTTTTGGATCTGGGAGGATTCGTCTTTCGTTTATGCTGCGGGTGAATTTTTGTTTGGCATTGATTCGAGTGGAATTGAATTATTGGGTGATTGGTAATGGTCTGAGTTTAGGACGGGTTCCGTTGGATTAGATAGTAAATAGAACTTTTTATAAGTTTTTGGAATTTTCATATCGTCAATATGTTTCAAAATCTGTAAGAGAGGCTAGCTGAGGAGGAAGATAGAATTATAGGGCAGACAGCCTTTCAGTATTATGTTGGAGAATGAGCTTGAGAAAAGAAGGTGATCGAGGGATTCATTTTCATCGTGGCAAAGAACAAGAGACGTTGAAAGATTTCCTCTAGTCACAAGAGCATGTGTAGTTTTAATGACAAACGAGAAGCAAATCTATCATGAAAAGGTGTATTTCACTTTTTAAGATTGGTTAATAGTTGTGTTTTTGATGATATGTTATGGATTTGAGTGATATATGTGTAAATATGAAAGTTTAGGTGTGAGATATGTAAATACATAAGCATTGTGTGCTATGTATGTAATTGAATTTTTGCCAGATAATATCAGGGAGCCTGGCAGAATCCTCACACATGCCATGAGATGGATTGGCATTGCTTTTCCAGAGCAGCTCCTCATTGTTTGGTTGAAGGGAAGGTTTTAAAATGAGGATTGAGATGCTGTGGAAGTGAAGGAGCTCGGTATGGTTCCAACCGAATGGAAACAGAAATTTGAGGAGCCTGTTGAAGTTAGGAAGGGTAAGTTTAAGAAGGCATCTCCCCCAAGAAGTTCTCAAGCACTCACCATTAACCCAAGGTTGTGGTTTTGGTTTTCATTCCTGGCCTGTTCGAGCATGTTTTGGGATTTGATTGGGATTGTTGACAGGGAATGGGTAAAGTTTGACGCCACATTTTTTTTAGTTTTTTGGATTTGGTTGTTGATATGGAATAGGTTTTTGGATTTGATTGGGATTGTTTATGGGGAAATGGGTTTGGTGATTTTGTTATGATAATTTTTTTTTCAGGCTTTTTTTTTTCTTATTTATGCTTGCCTCCTCTGAAAATCATGAAACAATGGGGGAATGAGTTATAATTTGGGAGCATTTACATACATACCACTCGGGTTCTATGCATTTACATATCTAACAACTAAACATTGTTTTTTACATTAATACCAACTAAAACTTTCATATCACATGAAAATCATATTTGTGTGTTATGTATTTAAATTTGGGAGCATTTACATACATTGTTTTTTACATTCATATTACATAAGAATTGTGTGTTATGTATTTAAATCTTCTTGTAATTTATTCTTTCACATTTGAGAAATTTCTTTGATTTTTCTCTTTTGCTTATGAGTGCATGATTCATACTCCTTTCTGTACTCGTTATCTTTCTCTGTTTTCTAATTTGGGTAAAATTGAATTAACTGATAATCTAGAGTGATGAGTACATCACAAAAGTGGAGTTAGTCACATTTGATCTTGTACTCAATTATGTACGATACTTGTTTTGTATTTTAAAGGTTGTAAACGACCATGCTTATCCAATTCAAAATTTGTTAGTTGTGTACGCTTATTTTATGTTTCTAATGTTCAACAAGACTTTGCACAACACTTACTTTTTTTTTTAAGGAATAGTTGTGTACAAACATGAAGTGTAACCTTTATTAAAAAATATATGTGCATTGCCATATTCATGTGAACATTTCTTAAATTTTTCATGGCTATATGGAAAAAATAGAATTTGTTGCACATATACTCACATACATAGTTACGTATATCCCAAAAAATGAAGAAGTTAGGTAAATATATGTATACAAAATTGTATGTAGCTTTCACTTAAAATTTCAAAGCTCTGTGCATTTGTGTACAACGAACAAATAAAATAGTCACACAAATTCTTGTACACAGCTATGTATTATGTTCTAAAAATTATACAAAACTGTGTAAATTACCAAAAAAGAAGAAATTTGAAAAAATGCAAATGAGCTCAGATAAATTTTAAGATAGAAAATTTAACATCCAAAGAGCTAATTGATGGCACATAGTCAAGGCCTCAACTCTATGAAATTAATAAACCTAACAAATTATGCAATTCTAATGTGAATTCTATTAACAATTAATCACAAAATATAATGAAGAAAATGAGTTCTGACTAAATAGTGCGGTTGGGTTCTGAAATACACCCCAAACAAAAAGGGAAAAAGTTGTTGGGTTTTATGATAGATGTATCTCAATTCTTAAAACAAGAATGAATGGTATTTGGGGGTCGTAAAATACTATTTAAATAATCATTTAGCCTTATGTCTTCTAAATAACTCATTGGATTGTATGAATTTCGTAGACAAAAAATTATACAATTAAAATAAAAATTTCAAAGCCACTCATAAAAAATAGATATTTGTATCGGAAAATCTTACTATATACATTCAAATACAATGCCTAACATCGATTGGTACTAAGGTATATTTTAGCTCATGTTTTCCATGTTTGGTTAGGCTTTAAGTTTGTCATAACAACAACTTCAAGCATAATAATTTATATGTTTTTTTAATTTTGACCTTGTCTTTTAGGTACTTCGTCCATCTGCAAAGAAGGTATCATTATCCTTAGATATCTAAGTGCAAGTGCCCTCGACTTCATATAAAAAATAAATAAGATAAACAACACATCAAATTATCACATCAGATCACAGTATGCATAAAAGAAAATAATTATGTCACTCAACCCTAAGATGCATAAAGCATGCGCCTATCACATCATTTGTGTGTACTAAGTTGTTGATGGTGTCAATTTAATCAAATGTGTGCTATTCAAATTATTGGTTTGATTTGATGATGTTCAAACTTATTAACTAAACAATGATTCACATGTTAAGTTATTAATTTTATCTATTAATTTGTTATATCTTTTATGACTTAAGAGTCTATCCATTTAGGGTTATAAAAACCTAAGTATGATGAACATAACTTATATTTGAGGTGGGATATATTGTCACAAGGGTCCTAGAACATTTTCTAAAGAAAAGAGAAACTATGTTTTTTAAAAGAATAAGAATATTGGGTAACTCATCGTTAGATCCTGAATTCTAGATCTATGTTTGTGGTTATGTGAGAGGTATTAAAATACTAAAGGGAGATTCACTCTCGACTCCCAAAACACAAGTTTGGGTATATAAAGTTCCAGAGAACAGGCTTAGTTCTAGTCAAAATAGATTATCCATGGCTTAATGAATTTTAGGATGCCATGAAAATGTTTTATCCATGACCTGTTTTTGAGATGGATCATGCTGAGGCGAAGCTAGAAAATTTTAAGTGGGGGTACAAATTAATAATTTCAAAATCACCCTTAATATTTTTAGAACTTATCTAATACTTTATATATAAGTGGCAAGCGACGACAAGACTATCTAGTTTCATCACTGACACCTCATCGAACACCTTTCCTTCAACTAGTAGTATTCAAAACCAAAATTTCTTGCGAACACCTTTCCTTCAACTAGTAGTATTCAAAACCAAAATTTCTTATTGAACAACCAAAGCCATCGTTCAACTTGCAATCATTGCTTCAAGAACAGCAGCGGGCGATTGCTCCGTGTCAGTGGCCAGTTAGAGGCTATGCCGATGGAGAATTGGGGAGTGTTTTAGTTGGTGCATTGAAGGAATTGATTGAAAGGGATTGTAAGAAGGAGGCCCCGGGGGGGGGGGGGGGGTCTATTTATTTATAAAAGTAGGCGGCGATCGAGGAGTCCTTGGTGGCAAGGGCGCCAACACAAGGGGAGAATCTGGAATCGATGCTTGACAACTTTATTTGGATTTGGTAACATAATTTGGGAAGGAGAAAAGAAACTGATATGTACTCTAACTTTCATCGATCATCAGTTGCGGGTAGTGCCTTACAACCTAGCTCAGTCAACTATTGTGAGGCGATGAGATTAATAATGGTCAATTAAGATTTTATAAAAAAACCAAAAAAAAAAAAAAGTTTGTCGGGCCAGTTATGTTGCGACACTCCAGTGCCCCCATTGTAGCTCCGTTCCATAGAGGATCCCATTCTCAAGGCCAATAAGGTTCTCCTAATGCTAGTTTTATAAGTAAATAGCCGTCCATACCCAACTAGGCCAAAGCTAGAATCAAATGATAAACTATTCACTAAATATGTCTTAAGATAACCAACATGGTCCTATGGTTAAGCTACCAACTGACTCGGGGTCTGCTAATAGATTCTAGAGTTACATAGGAGGGTCATCGAAAGGCTCTTAACCATCTTAAGATTGTCCGCACTAACAAATCCAAAAATAAAGCGGATTGCTGGACCTCTTAAAGTGAAGTCAGAGGGTGTTAGGGTACCCAATTATTGGGTACTCTAAGATCACTATACCTAATCAATAGAAGGATTTTTACTTCAATTAAAATCATTTAGCATAATGATTTGAATAATGCATGAAATTATCATACAAATTAAATATCATATGAGATTATTCAAGATAAGCTATAAGTTATTGTTTAGGGTTATGTAAGACTAGGCTAATAGGAACAAATGCTTAGTCGCGGGGATTTGCTAAGGAGAGCTAGGGTCAAAGACACTTTTATTAACTAAGCTAATTGTTTTCCAAGATCTAAAACTTTGAGTTTTAACTAGTGTATTAACCTTTATATTATTTGTCATTTATAACATATTTTTTAATTTTTTTGGCATGTTCAAGGTATTTCTAGAAGCTTTTAAATGTCCAAGGCTTCTACTTATACATGTGCGTATTATGATAAGGCATGAATAGGTAGCCTACTACTAGGCAATAACGTGATCCAAATGTTTTGTGTTCGTTTTATAATGGATTGATTAGACCAATAACAATCCAAAAATATATGTGAAACCGAGGACTTTTAATTTATGATTGAATTACCAACTCACATGACCTAAAAGAAGGGCTACCCTCAGTCATATGG